GGGGTATGTAATCCGCTCCTAGTGATGGGCGGGGGAGTATTCCTGTCACTTCTTCTTCTTCTTCTGGGAGTATTGGTGGGACACATTAGAACTAGCCACGCAGAGGAAAAGTGGATACTGCTTTTGCAGAATAACTCCCACTTCTGCCTTTTGGAAATCTTTAAGATAGCAGCATACATGTTGACTGTTGTGCATATGGACAGTTTCAAGCACTTGTGCTCACTGACTTGAGGCACTTCGTAATCACATCACAAGTTTTGGATCCAGGGCCCCCCCCCCCCCCCCCAAGGTGCTTCACTGTGTTTTGATCATGCACTTTCCAACCTCCTGTCACTTGAGTTCCTTTCCAAAGGCTTCAGAATAAAGTCACGGGCCACTGGACAGTACTATTAGATGGAGGGATGGGGAGGACTTAGCTGTGTTTCACTGCAGGGAGTTGCCTGCTGCTAGTTTCCCCTGGCAAGCATCACCCCCAAGAGAGCCAGCCCAGCCAATTATGAGGCAATCTAGGCTTTCCTCTGGCACCTTGCAAGAAACAGATGCTGCTGAGGACTGGCCGTCTCCTACTGAGACAACTGGCTGGGCAACAGGATGTTCACAACTACACTGGTGTTCCCCAACATGGTGCCCTTGGGCATTATGGTACCCATCAGGATTTTCAGGAAGTGGGTGGGCCCATTGCAAGGTAGGGGTTCTTACTGGCCTCCCTCAGTTCTCACTGGAGTTCTCACTGGAGAATGAGGAGGACTGGTAAGCACCTGGGTGTTGATTAGTGTGTGGCTCCATTCCACCTCCAGGATTTCCTTCTTCCCGGGAGATATGAGGAGGGAGGTATTCTGTTTGGCTCTGCCTCCTGAGGCAGCCATTTGGGGTTTGGCTCCACTTCTGGGGCAGCCATTTTGGGGTGGCGCTACCACCCTCTCTTAAAGTTCCTAAGGTGCTTGCAGCCTCAAAAATGTTGGGGGAATCCCTAAATTACAGGGACCACCTTCCACTGCCCATCCGTCCCCCCAATAATAGTCCATATACCGGGAACCCTTGCTATGGAGGCCAGAGCACTAGACGTCACCTTGAAAGGTCTCTGGGCATTTCAGCACTTGTTTATAGGAGGTCTTCTGTCCATTGGCTCTTAGACCTTCAATCTGGATCACTGCTTGGTAGTTTCCATCCTAGACAGAAGAAATTCAGGTCAGCGGTCTGGATGCCATCACGTAAATCTGCAAGCCCTTGAGACTATATATAGTCACAATTGTTTCCCTCTGGAGTAGGGTTGCCAGGTCCAACTCAGGAAATATCTGGGAACTTTGAGAGTGGAGCCATGTGCAAGGATGTGACATCACAAAAGTGATTTCACTTCCAGGTCCACTCCCCGCATCCCGAAGGTTCTTATGATTCCATAGTAGGAGCTTGTGCTTCTAACACAGTGGCTGCTCTCAGCTCATCCTCCACCCAAGCCATACACACTGGTATGCACAAAATTAGAGGATGGGTAAGCAAAGTTATCCTTGCAGCCTGCAGAGTGACCCTCCAAGGTTCAAGGAAAAGTACTTGTAAGAGACTTGAGTCCAGGGTCATTTCCTGCAGGAGGGCACAGGAGCAGAGCTCCAGCAGTAAAGAGCCCAGGGGGCGGGCACATGCAACAAGTCCCACCCCCTGCTCCCAGCAGCCCTCAGTCAGAGCAAGAAGCAGCCAGGTAAGTTGCAGAGTTCCCCCTGCCCCCCGGTCCAAAACAGTCCAGTGGCACCTTTAAGACCAAGTTTTATTCATGTACAAACTCTCCCTCCCCTGTGAGGACAGATCTGCACGCCCCCCACCAATAGCTAGCAATCCAAAACAGTCCAGTGGAGCCTGAGCGGTGGGTGTTACCTTCTGACACACTTCCAGTGATGTCAAGGGGTGTGGCATATGCAAATGAGTTATGCTAATGAGCTCCTGCACCTCTTTTTCTACTAAATGACCCCTGCTTGAGTCTAAGAATGGGACAGCAGGGCTGCTTCAGGACTGACTCTGCCCTGGGTGGAGCACAACCAGCCCTTGCATTTTTGGAGAGCTTCCACACAGTGTTGTGCTTTCACCAAGTGTGGAGGCTCTTTACCTTTTGAAGCCAAAGCAAAGGGGGAAAGCCTTCTTTGCTCCAGCATAAAGGAGAAAGGCAGGCTGACTGCAGACGAAACCTGTGTGTGTGGAAGCTCTGCCTGTCTTCCAGTCTGGGGTGGTGCTGATAGATCTATGCTCTGCCCCCCCCTTCAGTCCTCTAGTGGGCTTGTTTTTCATTCATAGCTCAGCCTGTGAGCACTATACCTCAGCTGTGAGGCAGGGAAGGGAAAGAAGGTTGCGGGCAGGGGAGCAGCAAGATTGTTATTGCATCAGGACTTCTGGAGCCTCGCAATGGAAGGTCAGGAGGTAGGTGGGGCAGCAGCAAGGGAACAGGGCATATGGCACCTTCCCCACCAGCCTCTGCCCCATTTGCTGCTGTTTCCAGAGTGGGGGCTATCCCCCCCCACCCTGTGTGGAAACAGCAGATGTTTGGTTTTAGACACTCAAACAAGGGTCTAAATCAGGGGTCCCCAACATGATGCCTGGGGGTCACCATGGCACCCACCAACACCTTTCCTGGTGCCCCCCTGGGCTTCTGCCCCACCCCAACAAGTGTAATTAGGAAATAAATGCCAAAAGACAGATACCTGTCAGCAGAGGTCATTTCGGGGGGGATCGCGGGGGATC